TTTCTTGATTAGTTTTGTGCCTGTAAACTTTTATTTGATTTGGTAAGCTGAAAATGTTTAAAATCGAATGGCGAAAAGAAAATTGTTTTCTGGAATGGAAAATATTTAGCTCTCAGCTGGTTGTAATTGAAAATGTTGTAATCATTCGCTTCCAGTACATGAAAATCTTTTGCCTTCCATCTGCCACCTTTCAGCAGTTGAATTATAATATATATAGGAAAAGGGCCCTCGCTTAGATGCAGTCATAAATTATGAATTATGAATGTCAAGGTGCCTATGTACGTGTGTGGCCCGAAGACTTCGTTCTTTCCGTTCCTGTCGGGCCCACTCGTCCCTCGGGTCCAATAAAGTTAAGAGTCCTACGACCCGCAGGGGGTGGTTCCTTGGGCCAAGTTAATAGAAACACTTTCTGTGTGCAGAAGTTATAAACATTTATGGCAGCTACTTAAAAATGTCAAGCGAAAAAATTATGATAATGATACGTGACATTTGAAAGCAATAACAATTTAGTTAGCACGCACTTTTTGATTACTCATCTTTTTCATCGCATTCAGCCATCCCACTTTTTCCGGCATCGACCTTCTCATTGCTTTGGGTTTCTTTTTTTATTATTTATGAGTTTTGTCCACATAAAATGGAAAAATTGCTTAAAAAGCTGAGCTCATATACATATATCATGAGTCTGGCAAAATTAAATGCTTCCGCATTTTTGCGGTGTTTGAGTACGGAGACATGCACTTTACAAGAATAATTCTTATATGGGTATAATGTAATGCGATCGAAAAGCGTCTTCCGATGGTTATATAAAAACATGGCACATAACATAGCGTACATTCCTATATTTAAATCAAACGAAAAGGCCAAGCTACGCTACTTTAAATATCACATTTTAAAATTATTTTAAAAATAATATAACACAATTATATTATATATTTTTTTTCTACTGCTGAGATCGGAGTTTCTGGGGTGGGACAAATAAGTATTTAGACCAGTTTAAGAAATAGTCGCCCAATTTCTTTCAGGTACCGAAAACACTATGTACATGTATTTAAACCCCTTTCGTCCAATCCGTGCTTTTGACTCAAAAACAACCGCTGGGCGTGGAGTGGGTGTGTTAATTTTTCACCAATTGTCATGGTTACGAAATTAACCAAAAATGCAGAGAAAACTGGGCTAGGATCCGGGAGCAGATCCTCTGAGGAAAGCGGGCAAACAAACCAGCAGCCAACAACCCAACAACCAGCAACTGTGGCAGTGGCAACAACATGAACAGCAAAGCACACATCCTGTGTGTCAACTGAATAATTCGTTGCATGCACAAAAGGCATGCACTCACATCCGGTTTCCTGTCATTCTTTTTGCTTTTTGCTTGCCACTGACAGAAAGGGCCAGCATAACTGGGCGTCGGAGCGGGTGTGGGCGTGGCAATGGGATGGGTAGGAGGGAAAGGGAGGGGTAGTGGCCAAGCCTGCAATTTATGTCTATGTATTTGCCGTTGTTGTTGTCTTTATGGCGTGCTCGGTATTTGTTGCAACTTTTGTTTTGAATTCCTGCGGCCTTGTCACACGGCTCCATGAGCTCGCAGTTAAATTTATGTTTCAGCCCGCACAGGCGCAACTCTTAACGAACAATGAGTTGGCTGGGGGTGGTGGGGGTCTGGAAAAAAGTGTTGAATGCTGGGTCGGGTCATAGGTCTCCTGGGATGGCGACGCGTCACCCGCTTTTGTAAAGCAGCGTATAATCCACTGATTGCTCCCAAGGTTCAGCTTTCAACAATGAAGGACGCAGCACATACATACACCGAACGAAAATGGGGGGCATGCACCGAAGTGAAAGATGGGGCAGCGAGGAGTAGAGTGATGACGGAACAGGTTACCTCAGCTATAGCTGTCGGGTCAACGGATATGCTGCACTTCGCTGTTGCAGGCCATACATTTCCAAAAGCGTAAGTCCATCCGCTCTTTTATCTCATTAACACTAGTTCTATATGATCAACACTGTTCATAACACAAAATACAAATTTGGTGCTTGTGCTTTAAATAAAACAATAAAGAGTTTTTAAATTCGTTTTTTGTTATAATAATTATAATTATGTTTTAAATTTCAACATTAACCTAGTAACTGAACAAAACTTTCTGGAAATTTGGAAAAATCTTGTTTAATGATCCTGATTTAAATATTCATTGCGATTGTCATATTTAAATAAACGTACTTATGAAAACTGTTAACAAGTTACAATTTTTTTGTCCCTAAAAACTTTGATATATATTTTTACAACATTTCTGGGACTGTTAAGAAAATAATACAAATTGTATAACATATTACTAAATCATTGAATCTTATTGCTAGGGTATTTCATTTGTGTATGAATTGCATGTCCTTCCCCCCTCGATTTGAACCAACATCCTGCACTTCTTGGTGTCCTTTGTGTGTCCGCTGCAACGTCGCTGAATGACATCGCACCTGGCCTGGCCAAGGCTTGAACTTTCCATAGCCAAAGTCCCCATCTGGAGTCCCTAGCCAGTATTAATTTTGCATATGAATACGAGCACCATGGACCACTGGATGTGTCCTTGCTGTCAGAATGGCCCATTGCCGCTGCTTTCCCAGCATTGCCATTCATGTAGCTACTTTACTACGCACTCGCGTCATGTTTATTACAAGCAATAAATTATAAAAAATATATCTAAGCCCATCACACCCCCGCTTTTGTGACAGCTCAGAAGTGTTACAAGCTCTTTAAGCTGCTGAAATGGTGCCGATTGGGGGCAAAGCTCAGGTTTGCCATCAATTTCATTTGAAGCCTTAGCCTCGGCCAATTAGCTGTCGCACTCGGCTCATTAGCAACACGAGAGTGAAAGCGGTTTGAGAAAATTTGGCAGCTGTTGTACCTGAATCCCAGGAAACAAGTGAAAAAACAAAATGTTTTCTTTTAGCTACCATTTCCATGCCGATGTAGAATAAATAAATAGTTTTTAAGTAGGTTTAATTTATTAATGAATATTGATAGAAAATATTATAAATATATATATAATAATATATATCTATAGATCTGTGAATTAAGAAAGTAAGCCATTAAAATTAATTAATTTTGTAAGTTCTTATAGATTTAATACTATAACTTTATGAAAAAGTGCAATAGAAAAGTATACATTTTATTTAATTAGTCCTAATATAATGGTTATTTAAAGTTTATCATTAACAAATTTATTTCAATTAATGTTAAAAGAACATTTTTAAAACAGTGCCAACTTAAAGTACCTACACGTAATCTACATAGACATGTGTTTCTACGATGTACAGAGTTAAAAGAAAACCGTTTTGAGTTTAAATAACTCTCCGAAAGTATGCAATGGGCTTAGAATTTTATAAACCTAAATATTCGATGTTTTTGCTGCAGATTGCCATTTACTAGTGCCGGCTGCTGGCTTCATTAGTCGGCACCCAAGTATATCAAGTCAGGCTGCAAACGTTGCAAAATTAAAATGATTTATATGTACTTTGTATGCACAACTGCCAAGTATTTTTCTTCCACATACGCATCCACATTCACCTGAAAAAGGGGTAGAGTAAAGCTGCCAACTCGCCAGTTGTTGTTGCACTGCACTGCATTTAAGTAAAATGAATTGCTTGCCATTTATTTTTGTTGCTTATCATATAAATTGCACTCGCTCGCCTGCAAGTCATTATTTGGCACATTTGCGCTCAATGACTGCACATTGTTTCTACGTCTTTCCCCCAACCACAGTGTTAAATAGGAGAGACGAACCGGAAGTTTCCAGATACAACAACTGCTGACCCAGTGGGCCTTGGGTGGCCGAAATAGACCTGGCCGGTTGGTCTTTTGCACTTGACTGCATCTTTAACCTCCTGCAGGAGCAAAATTCGAAGACACCTGAAAATGCCACTTAAGCATTTCCAGCTCCCTTGCACTCTGCACCCAACATTCGCCCCACTCAAATAAATTTCCGGTTTGTTTTTACACATTTTTATTTAGAAGTCTTTCAAGAAAATCGCTTCTTACGAACTGTACATACAATTTTTAATCAATTTTGATCTACACTCAATTTGATTTATACTGAAATGAAATAGTTTGGAAAAATGCTGACTGTGCATATTGATATTTTTAAATTTGATACACCTGCTATTATTTCATGTTTCGCAATTGGTAAATCTTTTGGTTAGCCGGCGAATCGCTATATAAGCCAGAGAAGTCACCCTGCAGCTTCAGTACAACATCTGACTTGCTAAGAATGGATTTCAAGAGCTGTGTAAGTTCGCTCAGACCTATATTAAGCTGATTTGATAGTCGTGGCCCAAGACTGACCCTACTTGTGATTAATAATACAGCTGATTTTCCTATCGCTTCTGTTTGCCGGCGTTGCGGCCCATCAAGAACCAGCCACGCCCACTACGCTAACGCCCTGCACGCCGTGGTGCGCCGGACAGCCTCGTCCGCCGCCTGGTTACCTAAACTGATTCATCCTCTTATTCCGCTTGTTACAAAACTTTTCAAAATTTTGTTACTCGCCCAAAAAATATTAAAAGACAGTTTTAACCATATTTTTCGTTTAAATAATATTATAATTTTAATAACTTTATATAAATAAATTTAATAACTTTGATTTTTTAAACTAATAAATTACTCAAATTTAATGTTTCTGAGTCGATTGTCAAAAAGATAATGCTCGTTCGATTTACGAGTATTCGCAATTGCTGTCCATAAATTCTTCTTGGAAGCAGTTTATTGTCATTTTCCTAGAAATATTATTTCAAAGAGAATTTACTGATGTCACCCCGGAATTTAAAATGTAATTATTGAGCTTATATAAATGAGATTTTTAAACCGACATGTTGTAAAGTCGGAATACGGCTTTTCCCGAAAAGTAACTAATTTATTATCTTAATAATCTTTAATTGCTTCAAGTTAATGACATTTTATTTAATTGCAAATCTACTTTTGTCACTGTTTTTACTTTTGAAAAATGATACCAGCAAAATGAGGCTTAAGACAATTGCTTTTTATTGCTAAATTGTACATCTCAATTTAATTCAACAACTTGCAAGTAATATAATCAGTTAAATCTTCCAGGAAATTCTGCATGTGAAATTTCACTTTTTTTTGAAGGTGTACCATTTGGGCCGCTGTTTCCAAAATTTTGGTAATACACATTATATTCACTGGGGACTTGTTCGTTTCTTCCTGTCGATCCGGCACTTGGGTTGCTTTCGCTTGAGAAACACTCTTGCTTCCCGTTGATAAAAGTGCATCGTTGATAGATGCAAGTTTGTATTCCGTTGTGCGTTCTGCAATGTCTCCGAGATGAATGACCACGATTTCCTGTGTTTCCGTATTCGTAATTGGTTGAGCCATGGCTTTCATAAATGGCACCTCCGATCCCTGAGTTTGGGATATATCCATTATTTGCTGCAGGGAATCCAGCTGCTGGAACTTCTGTTATACTACATTCTTTTTTGCCGTCGAATGAATGTGTGCAACTTTCCTTGCTGCATTTGTATCTTCCTGTATTCCAATCACACGAGGTACGGGAAGATTTTGCTTGGCCCATCCATTGCCATTGGTAATGCCATTGGGCCACACCAAAATCAATAATCAACAAGGTGATTAAAACAATCTGCTTAAGAAGAAGTTTTTAACACTTTATTTGTACAACTTACATCTTTTGTTGTGTACTCACCAGTAATTTCATTATGTTAATAATATGAAATTGCTTTCGCAAATTGCTTTATATAAGAATGCATTGGTGCGATTTCGCAGCTTACTGCAAATACCCTTACAAAAGATATTATAATGGCCATAAACAAAAATTTGTTAACTTACAATTTGATGAAATAATAATAATATTAACAATATTTAGTTTATATATTGTCTTCATATGAATATCTTAATTGACTTCTTGTTCAAATCTTAATACTTTCCTAAAGAGGGTATAAATTTTCTTATCGGCTGATGTACTTGGAAATGACTTATTACTTTATTAATTTTGTGATAAGGGGCTTCTCAGTTCCACTTTGATAACTTTGAAATGTAAAGTTTTTATTCAATCATTCCTTAAAATATATATTGCTCGATGAGCTTAAGACTTTTTTTAAACCTCATTTGAAAATAAATACAAACATAATTATAAGTACACTGGCTAAAAAACGTAGTAAATTCAAATATATTGTACTCAATCTAAATATTTTCCCATTTAATTTTCATCCATTGCGGTTTTTAATTATTTTAAAATAAAAAAACTTACATTGATTACGTGATTGAATATTTACTTTAAATAATAAATAAAAAATTTTTAATTAAATATATAGATATTTATTTTTACTACTCCCTTTTGTAATCAGTGTACATTAAATTTATATATCTGTCAATGGTATTGTATAATTTAAGTTCTCTACTCAATACAAAGACAAAATCAGCATTAGCTTTCTGCACCAGCTGTAAAAGCGTTCATAATATCAAAAAAGATTTCTTATATATGTATAAGCGAAAATATAATATTATGGATACATTTTATCTAGCTTGGATCCAATTAAAAGTCAGCAAGATTAATTGATCTTCTATATTCTACGAGATTTTATGAAAACATTTGTTCTCTTATAATTTCAACGGTTCACGATTGATTAAAGCATGACCACTTCAACTCCTCAAGTCAATGATTTCGTATTTACTTTCGCCGGGCGTTCGGCCACCAGAGAGCCCATTACTGGATTGGCTGCTATCTAAGGCAACATGTCCTGCAGTTTCCAAGAGTCCGTCCTGTCCAGGAAGATGTGCCATATTTATACAGCCGGGAATCATATGGGCACCTTTACTGCCGGGAATTGGTAGTACGCCTCCGAGTCCGGGAATCAGTATGGTGCCTCCGGGGACAGAAATCAGCTCGGCACATTCCCTTTTGGAAGCGGAAATTGGTACGATGTTCTCGGAGCTAAGAACCTTCTCGGAGAAGGTAATTGGCAAGACTGTACCAGTGTCAGAAAGAGTCAATATTTTTTTGCTGACAGAAAGTTGTTGATTTTCTTCTGGGGTGGGATTGGGTAAAACCTTTCCTGAGTAAACAATGGGTAGAGCTTTTCCGATTGAGGAAATGGGCAGTTGTTGGCCTTTTACGGGGATGGAAGTTGGTAGAGAATAAGCCGCTGCTCGAGAGAAAAATCCACTTGCCGCTCCACCTCTGTGTCTGATCAATTGGCCTTTGATCCCAGCAGCGAACGTTAAAATAATAACTATAAAGATCTGCATTTCGGAATACCAATTAAATTTTACTTGTATATCTGTACAATCTTAGAGAGTGCAGAGTACTCACCGGCAATCTCATTCTAAAGCTTTGACTTGAAAAACAAGGCATTCATACGAAGAAATTTGATAAGAGCTGTCTGAAAATTACGAGTCATAAAAATATATTAAGGTTAATGACAATAAAAAAAAACAAAGTCTAAATATAAATATTATTTTCTATAGCATATTAATTGGCGAAATCTTTTCCAAGTGCTTATTTTATTTGCACTAGTACTCTTTTAGGCTCAGAAAATATTTTTTACATACTGTCATTTTTTTTACAACATTTAAAAACCTATTTAACGGCATAGCTTATTTTTTACACCTTCATGCTTAATAAATGTTTTAATTAGGAAACGCTACCGAGCTTGCAGATTTTCCTGTCTAATGATTAAAAAAAAACTCATATAGTTGGGATAAGCAATAAACCAAAGAACATTGGGGAGCAAAAAAAAATCTTTTTCTGCGGCACTCGTGGCATTTGATATTTGATATTTGACAACAGCAACAAAGTGGTGGATTCGGATGGATTACACAACAATTTTGATGTCTTTGCATTGAATTATAAACACAACCAAACACCGGGTTCAAAAAATGTGAGAATAAAACAAAGACAAAATTGTGAGGATGCAGCTAGTCAATAGCCTCCTCCGTGTCGGCCTTTTCCTGCTCCGTTTGAGGCTCCCTCCCGTCGCCCAAATCGGTCTGATCCCTGCTGGCGTCCTGGGACTTGCCCTCCCCCTGCGAACCGCCCTGCTGGGTGGCCTGCCAGGCTCTGGTCCAGGGCAAGGACATCAGCGACATGACCTTGGACAGGCCGTGCTGATCCCTATCCCGCCCACTTCCGGTGATCGCATCCTTCTCCGGCAGCTGAAGCTCCTCGCAGCACAGCATGGAAGCCAGCAAGTGATCCACGAAAAGGCCGTGCCTCCGCCTCAGACTTCCGGTTGCTTCCGTTTCCTGGCACCTCAGCTCCTGCTGGGCGATCCACTGCAGCAGCAGATGCCGCTCAGATTGCCGTTTTGGTGGTGCCACAATGGCCGGGCTGCGAACTTGGCGAACCTCCTGCTTGTTGGTCTCTCCAGTGAGGTCGATGGTGGGCATCTGGAGATCGGAGTGACCCGGAACTCGGCCCAGCTGCAGGATCATATCGAAGCCCCTTGTCTGGGGCTGTGGATACCCCTGCTGCTGTTGCAACTGACGGCGCCGGCGGATGCGACTCCGGACCAAAATGCGGCGCAGAGGCGGTGTGTCCGGCTCCAGGAGATTGGCGTGCTCGATGTGGTTGAGCAGGAGGTGGCGCGCCAGGTTGCGAATGGCCACCAGGTGGATGGCGGGAAGGCCGGCGCACATGGGACAGACCACATAGGTATCGGCGAGTCGGTGCTGTCCACAAACATGCTCTATGAGCCGCTTGGCCGAGTGCCCCAATTGGTTGCAGTACGGACAGCTATAGCAATTGGACAGGTGCACCAGATCCGGCACATCGCCGCCCAGCAGCGGTCGACCGTCCTGCGACTCAAGGATCAGCTGCATGGGATGGTCGCAGCGGTGTTGCTGCGTCTCGATCCGCTGGTCGTAGCAGTCGCCGCAAAGGTCATAGTTCACGCAGCGCATGCAGCGGAAGCGGCGACCCCGGAAGTCCTGCCTCTGACAGCCATCGCAGCAAATGTGGCGTCCAGCCATCGCTCCGGTTATCCTCGATCCTCCGAGCGCATGCACTGAAATACTGGTCGAAAAGCTGATCAATTAGGTTTTGAATTTCTACAATTCGAATCGAAATAATGACACATATCGACGGCAGGCAAAGGCAATGCCTCAGAAAAGTGATTCTACTTTCGACTTGCCATTTCTCTTTAGAGTATTTATTATGTCGTATTTAAATATAAATTTATTTTTTTTGTTGGCTGAGTATTTATATTGACTAAACTTTAAACACGATTTTTCCAAAAGCAAAGAAATAATAAGGTAATAATTATATTTTATATTACATATTGTTTTGTGATATTAATTTGTCTGCCACTGTAAGATGAAATCAAATTTAATCCCCATGGAACACATTTCCAAAAATCCCGCTTATACTTATTTAATTGGATACCCAGTCAGTAATGGGTTAAACACTATGGTTCTAACTGTAGCTGTTGTTCCTTTCGTGGCTATGTCTCTCTCTCTCTCTCTCTCTTTCTCTCTCTCTCTCTTTTACTCGCACTCTTTGTCTCGCTCTGTTCTTTTCAAATTTCCAAGCCTGGTGCTGGTGAAGCCGGCTTCATGCACCTCCGTCCTTGTACCTCCCTCTTTTTGGGGGCCTTCAGAGTACACTCTAAAAATTAAGAATTCAATAATATTCTATTTGTAATGGAATTACAATTGGGAAAATAACAAATGTATTTTTATGTTTTCATACAAATAACATTTTTGAAGTAAGAGTTTCTTATCTATAAAAGTTTTATTAGTTTTAAATAAAAATAAATATGGCTGAGGAAGTTTTAAATTTAGGTATTTAAATATATAAAAGATTCTTAAATAATGTTAATTTTTAACTGTGCCTTGTTAAACTGTCTACTTCAAAAATATTATTTTGGCTGGTTGATAACCTTAGCCTACCTGTGCTGCAAAGATTATTTTCCAAAGTATTTCTATTTTTGAGAATAGTAGTTTCCATAGAGTTTATGGGATAACTTTGTTATTTAATACAAAATGATCGGTTAAGTGAAACATGGTTTTTTTGAGTGTATGACCACAGCTCCTGTTTCTGCGCTGGTGCTGGTAATTATTTTATAGAGTGTGGCGAACGGGACGCAATCTCTTCGCTGGTGTTTGTGTGGGTGTATGGGTGTGTGCGTGGGCAACTTATGTTTACCAAGTGCGAAAGTGGAAACGTGCTGCAAACATGAAGTCCTGCCGCCACCCCCTCTTTTTCCGCCCACTCTCCCAGTGTTTTACGCTTTATAATAGGATTTGAATACAATGGCATTGTAATGAAATGTGCAGCAAACGATGGTCTGCAGACGGTCTGTAGCAAGTCGAGTTCTGCGGTTGCCTTCGGACTCCCAACGCCAAGTTCTGCGATTGCGATTGCGATTGCGATCCCGTCGGCTCTCCACCAACTTCCCTGCGGCCATGGCCATCCGTTGCCAAGAACAAGCCAAACAGCTGTTCCGCCTTTGTCTGTCTGCGCGTGTAATTCGAGTTGGTAATTAAAAGTAAAGCAAAAGGCAAACTGCAGCAACTGCCGCACATCAAGTTACCGCTCTGCATGTATGTCCGTACGCTTTCTAATGACAAAGCAGTCGTCTAAGTGCACCACATTGCTTTTAATGCGAAAATGCTGCTTTTAAAGGTGTTCTTTTTAGGTCGGGTACTTGTTATGGAGTGTTCAACTAAAGGAACCTCATTTAATCTTATCAAATTTAAAAAAAATTGTATAGTTCCGTATGATGATTCGTTTTACATACTTTCACAAATAGCTTATAAAATATTTTATTTGTATTTTAATTTTATTTATTTAATTAAACATACACTCAACCAACCTTAGAATTTGTAAAAGTAAATTTTGTATCTTAATTAACTAAAATACCAATGGCTTCTTTCTTACAAAATTTTTAAACTTTCTAACAGCCGCAAAACGTTTGAAAGCTTAATTAGATCGGCCGAAATATTTGGCAATTTAAAAACGAGAGAAAACCCATCAATCAACGCCTGTCGACCTTTGTTGATTAGTTTATCAATTAAATGTAATTGAAATTTTATTTTCATTAGCCTTTCAAAGGGTGTCGTTGGACCCGCCTCAATTGGGCTAATTAATGGCAAGCCTGTCGGAGAAATCTCACAGCCATAAGCGATTTGGAAAATCAGGCCTTGATGAAACTGAGAAGGCGTTGCCCATTCAAATTGGTAGGTGCGGATATGGCGACTGGATTCTTCTAATTGCGCTACGCTTTTTTTCCTTTTGTCAGAAGCTGTCAATGAAAATTCTTTCTTTGGCCTCTTTTATTTATGTTAATTCGTTTGCCCTTAATTTTTTTTTTTTTTTTGCCACCGTGACGATATGCTCAATTGCTTTTGTAATCAATCAAAGTCAAAAGCGCAAAATGTAACTTACACACACGTATTGGTGGGCGGTAAAGGAGCATATCCTGATGGGTTGGGGGGCGGTGACGGGCTGGAAAGTGCAGCCAGGATGCCCGGGGCGGAAACTGGATTGTCATGTGTGCTCGCGAGTCTCTCGATGCTAGATGCTCGATACTCGACACTCGAAGCTCGATGCTCGATGCTCTTTGCTCGTATTTTGTGTTGGTGTTTGACGTGACACTTGAGCGACACTTGAAGCCCGATAATTGATATTGTGCAGACTGAGGACGGGCTTACCCGATATGTGGGGCGGCGGATGTAGTGGGCGTGGCCAAGTGCCGGTGTGCGCCAGTCACGGATTCTTGTAATTGTCGCTGACACATTTTCGTGGTTTAGTTCCGGATGGCAGTCACTGATAAATCTCAGGGGAATGGCCGTCAATCACTGGTTAAGTCCACACGGAATGTGGGCTCTAAATATAAAATCTATATATAATTTCCAGAATAAAATGTTACTATTCTTGGGATCAGGAAATCATGTAACCAAACAAAAATAAATAAAAGAATTTTCGATATATAATAATCACAAAAAAATATTGGGGTAGCCATAATAAACAAAATGAATTTTTAAGTAATTTATAAAAGTGTCTTAAAGTATGAAACAAATAATAAGTGCATAAATTAAAATGAAACGATGTTATATTTTTCACAGCATAATTTAATTTACTTTTCTGAGTGACCGCAAAATAATTTTGCAGCCAATAAGCAACTTTCGTGTTTGTATATAAACGGTTCTGCTAGACTCCATTTATAATACTCCCAACGCATTAATCCGGAATTAAAGAATTTTCACCTTTGCTTTTGACCCAAGTTTATTGAAATTTGGTGTATTTTCAGCATAGATTCTTGAATCTGGTCAATGTGCCACCTGTCGCCCACTTAGTGTTAACTTCAGGAACAGTGGGGACCTCCTGCTTTTGCCCAGAAAGCCACCAGATAATTGTTAACCATTAAGTCGCACCGCAAATCAAGTGCAGCAATTGCAACTGGACTGCAATTCATTTGCGGCATGGATCATTAAAGGGCGCAGGGGTCGAGAACTTTGGACCGGAGACAAACCGCACGCAAAGTTGCCAACGTGGCCGAAACAGACGTCACCGCCGGAACCAGAAACAGTCTGGGCCCAAACAAACCGAGCTGAAGCTGAAGCTAAAGCCAAGCCACCAAACCCATCCATCCCCTCGGGCCAACCGAAAAGCGTCAGCTGAAAGTTTGTGAGCATAAAGAGTTTTCAGCCCCAAGTGATGGATGGATGTGGATGGAGTGGGTGGGTTTGCCATGGCATAATGGGTATAAAAAGGATTGCAGACTGGTTTCACGCCACTTTCAGATCCATTAAGCATTCAATGCCAATCCAACGATGATGATAGCGAGCAGTAGAGCGCTTGAACTTTGGACTGGGGACTATAATGACATGCGTCGCAACTATTTCGCATTGGGAATATTTAATGTACGAAATTTGGAAAACATTATCTGTCATTAATGTCAAAAATTATAGCACATCCAGTGAAATCCTTTTAATGTCCCTTCATCTTGCCGAACCCAAACCCTTCGCGGCGACAAGTGATAAGTCGATTCAGTTAATAATGTCACAACGTCAAATGAGCAGACAACAGGGGATGACATCTATTAGACTACTGCTAGACACTTTTCAGCCTGCCTGTCTGCCAGGGACCGGTCACATTAATATTAATTTATCAGTGCAGAATACGTTAAAATACATTATTTATGAAATTTTATCATTTTCGGCCATTAAGCTGCGCTCACGGTGTCTATGACATTTTAATTAAAGCCAAACCGAGAGCCAAGAAGAGCACAAAAAAAAGGAGGATAAACGCCCCAGTCGAATGCCTCTTGAAATTATTATCATCACACCCACACAAAGGCAAACATGGGTAAAAAAGAGCAAGTAAAGAAAGCAAAAGTTTGGCGACAATCCCGACGCACTTTTATGGCACGGCTTTTGGCTGCGAGTGAAAATGAAGATACGAGAAAGTCCCGACCCAACCCCAAAACTTGGTATCAGTCTCATAAGTGGGAGCGACTTAGAGATGGTATGGAGAAAACTATAAAAATATTGCAAAATTTATATTAAAGTTAATGCTTAAGACTGCTATTGCTAGATAGTATCACTGAAAAAAGTTTATTAAAGTTTCGTTAAATAAAATGAAATCTGTGGAGAATAAAATCACCGTGACATTAAATCGGTGTTTTTAAGAATAGAACAACGCCTTCTACTCTTCTTTTCCAATGATTTGACTGAGATTTTTTGATGAATTTGCCCTTTTTCACAAGCATAGCTACTCAAACTCAAATTCAATTCATGCATATGATTTTTAAGACCTCTGATTTTTTGAGCTTTTCCATCTCTACCGTGAAAACTTTTGCGTATGTGAGAGTGTACTTTTCTGCTTAAAGTATGATTGCAAGTGTGAAAATATATATGCTAAACGTGCCCGAGTGCCCCTCCTCGTCTTTGCCATTGCCGTTGCCGTTGCTCTTGCCTTTCCCGTTCCCACTCCCGTTGCGCTTCATGCGTTTTTGTTTTATGACGCGGCGACGTGCTCGGAAAATGAAAAGCACTTGACGCGCCAAAGTGCTGAACTTGGCGGTCCTCCACTGGAGCTCCGTCTGTCCGTCCGCCGGTTCATCAGGCCCCAAACCACCCGACTCACAGTTGGTCCACACATGCTAAATCGTAAAATGTTCCATTCTTTCGTTTTTTTACCCCACCCACCCAAGTTTTTTCTTTACTGTTAAAGTTTTTATACTCTATCTGTGGGGTATGCAAGATGCGGTAAGGCAGTAAAAAACCTATGTATTTTATAATGGTTTCAGATATTTCATACAGAAAATTGTATAATTTAATTAAACATTTTCTTATTTTTTAAATTAAACCAAAAATTGAAATTAAAATGTTAGTTTTACTGGCTGGAGATCAATGTTTGTTTTTAGCTGCAATTGAATTGCAACCGAAGTGTTTTTAAAACCTTTAAAGAGACTACAAATAAATCGATATTTTATATTTATAATATTTTCGAGGCCCTCATATAGGTAAGAGTGTATCCTAAGCGTGTTAAAGGACCAAAAATCAGTTTCTACTTCTTTTGGTTGCCTTATTTTTTATGCGACGTGCGCCCGCCTGTAAATGGGTTTCTCCTTGGCTTCCTTTACTCCTATTCCATTCTCATTTGTTCGAACAATTTAAGAAATTGTCGCCCTGTCCTGTCTCAGCACCCTGGCCATTGCGCATAAGAAACACTATGCATGTGTGAAGTTTATAGTAAATAAAGTATGATTGTCTATTGTCAAAGCCCGTTGTTTTTGTGGTTTATAAAAATTCAACACTCTATTTGCCGCTCGTCGTTCGCTTGCTCCCTCTCAGTTAATTTCATTTGATTTATATGGATTGTGCAAATGGAAATGGAAGTGGGAGTGTAAGTGGGAGTGGAAATCGGGATGGGGATGATGAGCTTGGCTTTGAAGTTGGGGTTAAGCCATGTTCTGTAATCGCTCTTGTTGATGACGCTGATTCTGGATGCTATTGTGGTCAATAAATTACCAGCTGTGCAGAAAAGCCTTTCACGCTTTTGTTCCTTTTCACACATTTGAAGTGCACTTTATGCTTTTTGCATGCGCAATTCGCAATTAATTAAAACAATTATGTAGGCAACGACACAACATCACAACAACAACAACAACAGGAACAGGAAAAAGGCAAACAAGAGGGCAGACCAAAACAAAAAAAAAGACCTTCGACAAGAAACACGAAATTTTTCTGCGGTGAAATGTCATGTCGCCTGTCAACCACACATTTCCAGTTCGAGTACTATGCAATTATAAAAATGAAAGAACAGGTCTGCTTAAATTACCGACCACATCAGACAACGCTTACACCTTGCTTCTTGAGTCAAACTTAATTCCAAAATGGAGAGAATTAAGCAAATATTTAACTATTTTTTGAACTATTTCTGTGAACTATGCAATTGTTCCTGTATCTCATGACCACATCGATATCATTAGTGTTAATCGTGGAAAACGACGGTACGCCATTAATGTCATTATTGGATGGCACTTTCCTGGAGAGCCACAATTATTCGACAGAAAGCCCTGAAGGCAGGCTGAGTTCTTATCCATTGGGAAATGCAAAGGTACGAAGTACCTCAACTATAATACCAAATAGATTGAGTAAAATGTTAAGCCAAAAAAATGACAATAAGGTTAATAGAGAAATCGCCGACAGAGAAGAACGTAAAAGAATTGAGAGTCTATGGGACCCCGTTCTCAATCAAAGCTACGACTTTTCTAGATTTGAGGGTCATGAAAACACTTCTATTAGAATAAGTAAAAAGTTTACCCGAAAAGATCAGGAAAATATACAAAAAATTGAAGACGAAGAAGAACAGAGGATACAAAACCTGTGGAATCCCGCTTTAAATGAAACCTACGTCTCTTCGATCGTAGGAAATGATGATAATGAAAGCGAGAACGACAAAATTAAAATGGTAGATGCAAAAAAAAAAAGCTTTAACTGCGATGATTCCACATCTAATATGTCATTACCTTGCATAACACCAAGTGCTAATACTTTAGAAGAAGGAAATTCTGTGAAAAACGAATCGTTAGCGGAGAGAAGCCGAAGACGAAGATACCCACTGAAAGCAAGAATATACATCATTCCGAAATTAAATTACGGACAAATATATTCAATATTCACGACTATACCCAGCTTGGGCAAGGAAAATTTTGTGCTTAAAATTACAGTGGATACGAAAGATTACTTAATCGACGAAGTGGATACTGCAGTTGATATTGCATTTTCGGGATGGAATAAAACAACAAATTTGCGCGGTTTATTGAAAAAAAACGGCATAGTAATCAAACATCTTCTCTATAATCGTTGCTATTATTACCGCAGTACAGCTAGTTTTTTCAATATTAATCACAGATACGTTATCGCCAAAATAAGTTCAATGGAGGACAGCAAAAAGCAACTTTCAAGAGCGGTGCGTAGAAAAATAAAAGTGCACAGGCCACCGAAAGTGGCTTGTCTACCCGCTTTGAAGTTAGAATTCTGCAAAAATCCCGACGAGCCAGTTGAGATTTCGCCCTGGGGTCATCGGGAATTTTTCGCAACTATTAGCGAGAGCTGTCCCACAGTAGAATATAAATTTATTAGCTGGAATTTCTATGATATTACTGAGAAAAGTAAGCATATAAATTAAAATTTTGTATAATCATTACATTTGATTTATTTCCACAGACCTTATAGCTAGAATACAAGGAACCACAGATCTAGTCGTAAAATTACTGCCTTACAAGGTTGAATTTCTTTACGAACCGGATACAACAAAAGTGTTTCTATTACAAGGGAAAGTCAAATTAAACGATGTCCTTACTGTAGCTCGTGTGAGTTGACAAAGTCATGAGAAATGTATAACCCCACAGTCTTTCATCTTGATTCCAGTGCTATGCGATATACAAAACACCCCAAGTTGAGCCCCAAATCAGAGGCAATGAGCAGCGCAAGGTCGACGTTCGCAAGCCAGTTATTATCGATGGGTCCCTCTCCAAGGACCGAATTAAAAATAAGGAATCTCTTGCCACAAAGCATTTTTTTTGGAGTTGTCGCAGTCGGAACGATCCTGACAACAAATATTGTTATCGAGATATGTCCGAGAGTGAGTACTATTTACTAGTCGTAGTAATTAATGTGCGTAGCATTGTGTTTAGTATAAGTTGTGATTAAGAGAAGTATCGATAAAAATATATTTTTCTGTACGATATCAAATATATCGACATTTTGCTTTTCCCCAAATATTTTTATTGCCTTTAGTTAAAGTCACTAAAGAAAACTATGTTTTCTAATACATCGTCTGCAAAGTACAGTTAGTCTTCACGTCATATTACTTTTTCTGTGTTTTTTTTTTCTCTGACCGCAGTCTTGCATGTTATGGAATTTTAACTGGAATGTATACTTTTATTTAAATGTTAATGTTCAACTATATCTGCATATATTTCTTTACTACGGAATGACACAAAAAATAAAATAAATATATAAGTTAGCAAATATTTCAGGATAATCGAGATAAATTTGTTATTTTTACGCAGACCCCGTCGTGAAACTGCCAGCCAATGCCCTGAAGGCAGGTGGCGAATACAACTTCAGTTTGACCGTCATTTCGAAAATTGACTTTCGGAACCGGAAGACAGTCACTCAAAGGGTGAGGGGCATCTCCGAACAAACAGTCACGCTTCAAATCGAATGCCGGCGAAACTGTGATCTCGGGGTATATGCTCCGTTGGAAAGTGTTCACCTGGTGCCAGTATGCGAAGATTGCCCGTCGAAGATAAGGCGATACGAGTGGTGGGTGTTGGTGGAAGGAGAAATGCCCTATCTGGAATCGCGGTATAAATATCTGATCCTACGCATTGTGGAGCCCATCGTTTCCATCCGGCTGAGGGTGGTGATGGATAAAAGATTGACGGCCGATGCTTTTTACACTCTGCGCCGAAACTACGGTCCTGACAAAGGCACTTGCCACATCTCTCCATCTTTTGGCGTCGAAGCAAAAAGCATTTTTGAGATCGCTTGCCTGGGCTTTGAGTCGCCCTACTCTCCGGTGACCTTTCGCTACAAGGTTAAATTGGGCGTGCTCGCCTCGAATGTGCCGTATACGAGATTTAAACTTACTTTGCCCGCCACCAACAAAATCATGGTTTCGATTTGCGATAACATCGATATGTGTGTGGACCGCGTGCTGAAAGTGAAGGTTCTGGCGACTAGGAACGACTTTGGCACACACTCTACAAGTTTGATTGACACGATATTGGGGGAAGTACCGAATATGCTGCTGCGTGGCCATTGGCATAGGGCCTATGTCAAGGGTCTCGTGGCCACCCGATGGATCCGGACGACCAAAAATGGCCAGCAGGTGTACTCGTATTTCCAGAATGAAAAGGCAAGAACGGGATCCCAGCTGGAGCAGATCACCAACCTGGCCACGCGCATTTTGACCCGCCTGACGCCAGTCGATTACCATGGAGCCACGCTAATGGGGGTAATTTTCAACAAGCTTTGCGAAATCTTTGAGGACATCATTAACGAGAACGAATGGCTGCATCGGGATGCTTACTTCTCGTTGACGGCCATGCATATGTTTTTCATGTCCATACTGGGCAAAAAATCGGAGCAACATTCGGTTGCCATGTGCAAGCCCCATATTTCGGAGTGCTTAAATGTGAAAAAATTCGATCTGGAGAAGCACTTTACGATCGTGTTTGATCCCCTGATTCTCCTACGCATCAATAGCTGGATGGCGAACACCTGGTTCCTGTACAAGTGCGTCTTTTTCCTGGGCGTCCTGGCCACCCATAGACACTATCCTTATGACGACGCCTTGACAGTCCACCAAGGCGGCATTGCCTATCAGGTAGGAATATATTGAAATCTATTTCCTTGTGATATTGAAATTTAAGTTATCGTTAAATGTTTTTATTTCGATAAAATATCGCTCACACATTTGGTTTTCTGAATCTATCTCAAATGTATATTTTTGGATACATTTTTATGATAAATCAAAATTTGCTTAGCGACATTGGTGTGATTTTGATATGCAATTTTATATATCGCCAAACATTTTGCTTATGGACAGCACACAAACATCCTATTCTTTTAAATTCGATATTTCTATTTTCCATACACATTCATTTGGAATTTGATTTGCCGAGAATTCTGTACCACCTCGAAATGTAGTTTTCTCTCCTAATTTTTCTCATTTTAGGTGAATGTAACTGAGGTTACGAATCACGCCAAAGGCTTCACCCTGGCCACAATCGACAAAATCCACGTCATCGAATTCTCGGCAAAGCTTCTCCACGAGCTGAAAAGCAGCCTGAAGCACAGCTCCATTCTGTTCCAGACCATCTCGCAGCAGAACCACCACAATATCTTCTGGTGGTATCCGGATCCACTGCCCACGAAGACCAGTGTACTAATCGTCCACGCCTACAGTCCCGTCAAGTATTTCAGAACCGCAGAGGAGTCCGAGCTGTCGAATCCGCTGGTCTACAAGACGAACATCACCCAGTTTAACGAGGAGCTATCCTTCACCCAAAGGATGGTCAATGGCAGCATTGAAAATGTCACGGAAATTCACATATACAGCATGATGCTGGACAACAAGGCCATGCTGGCGGTGCGAATTGTGGGCTGTTCGGAGCCGATGCACATCAAGATGCAGATGCACAGGTGGCCCACGTTTAGGGATCTCAGACACGGCTGCTGTCATATACACCCCGAGATGAAGGGAAAGCGCATTTGGATGGCCAACTCGTGTGGTCGCAGCCGGGCATTTGTGTCCATTCACAGGCCATCTAAAAAAAAGAGGAAGAAAAATAAGTACTTGAGAAATGCCAGGCATAGGGAGCCATCAATTAGGGCAAAACAAATGAACTACTCGATACTGCTGGAGATATTCGCGTGCAACTTCTGGAAGAACCGAAGTTTGGATCCCGGCTGGAGCGAGGATTATTGCACCACCACCTTCGAGCACAGTTATGGCACGTCCGTTCAGTGCACTTGCCACACTTTGGGCACCCTGTCCTCTCGTATTTTACCCATCTCAGCGGAACTGTTTGTGGAGCACATACCCGTGCCCATACTGTTATTTAATGCACTCGTGCTGATTCTATTTGTTCTCCTATTTCTGTTGCTCATCATCATGATGCTCTTCAACATAGGCTTTGTCACGGCTTATCGGAGGGAGCAGAGCATTTTGCAGTGCCAATCGGCCAAAAAAGTGGAGAAAGTAGATCAATGGATCACCCATGGATCGGAGATACTTCTGGTGATTATAACCGGTGGTCAGGAGTTTGCGGGCACCACGTCGAACATAAAGTTCTACTTCAAGTCGCCGCAACGCCAGCAGATGACGTACCAGATCGCTCAGGATCCGGGACATCCGAAGTTGTTGAGGAACAGCACTAATATGCTGATGGTTCCCAGGGGCACCATCTATATACCCACCCGGCTGGCCTTGGGAATCGAGCGGAATGGTCGCTATCCATCGTGGTACTGTCGCTCCGTCACAGTGGTGGATCTCGATTCCAATTTCCAGCAGCTGTTCCTCGTGAAGAGTTGGATTGAGCGGGGTCACACGCCATTCATGCGGTCCAAATACTTTACGAAGGGCTCCTACCGTAAGACGCCCAAGTACAGTTGGTGCAAGCGTTTGAGGAACCGTGCCGAGCAGCTATTTGTCAGCTGGTTCATTATCAACCCAATCACAGGACCCTGGCAAAGTAGTGTGGGCGGTTTCACCTTGAATCGATTCCAACGCACCTCCGTGTGGATCTGCAAGTTGGCCATAACCGTGACGGTTATCTGTGTGTATTTCGGAAAGAGCACCGTGGAGACCATTCAGGAGGATAAAAGGCTAAACATTCAAGATCACATTAGAATAAGCGCAGTGGCTGCCCTGGCGTTTTACGCTTTTGTCATCGGATTGTTTATACATTTCCTATTTGAAGGGCTTATTTTACGTTGGCTTTTTCCGTAACAAATAAAATAACTAATAATAAAATGTTGGCTTATTTCCAAAAAATACAAAAATAAAATATATTTCTAACTATAAATTGCTATTAAGTTTTTCAGAAAACTTGTCATTTAAGAATTAACTGATAGTATACGATATATCTCGTAACCATTGGTGATAGCTGCCCTAATGCATAATTAACAGGGTCAGAAATATGTTCAATATAGAAAGAAATTTCAATAAGAATTTTTTAAAATTTAAATAGTGCGGAATGGCATGCGAAGGGCTTTGCCTTCCATACTTCCATACTGGCGACTATATCCGACCGGGCCTGGGCTAATGGATTTTTCCACGCCTAATTACCATTACTTAGCCGAAAGGGGGCGAAAAAAACACAGACACCAACGGAAAAAAAGGTAAAATTGCATTAAAAATTATCGCTTTTTTTTTCTAGAAACTATGCTTTTGGTATATTATTTTTTGTTACTTGAGTGTGTATGCAAATGGAATTTCATAGTCACCATTAACACCTTTTTGCACTGTCTCTCCTTCACACCTGTTTCTTGTGGTCCCTGCCACTTTTTTTTGTTCGCATATTTTATGTGACGCTGGGTGAAATTTGAAAAAAATAAAAATGCATTTAATTAAATGCCACACAAATGCTGCGAAAAACGTTTTCAACGTGTGATATTTTATGCCAGAAGTCGGGCTCTTTTTTTCTTCGCCGCTGTTGTTCTCGTTTCTCATTGTCGGGGGGACAGTCGAAAAATGCATTTTCATAACGTTACTAGCCATTATAAATGTGTTAAGTTGGGGTTGTAAATGGGTTGCGTTTTAGGAGTATTTTCAAAATGGTCGAGTAGTGACCAAGGCAAAAGTTTTGATCTTGAGTTTAAATGTTTAAATTATAAGAAAAGAACTCGTTAATTTATTATCAATAATAAGCAATCAAAGTGATGATGACAATGAAATAAAAGGGACATACAATCAGATTGAAAACAGCTGTTAGTCAGCATTTCGATGCCGTTTCATCAAACCACTTCAGTATTCATCCTTGAGGCTGTGACGCAGTCGTGGATCCATGAAAATTCGGGCAACAGCTCAATCTGCAACCAGTTCCGATTTTCGGTTACTTTGTAGTTAGGCATAGATTTGCAGATTTGCCATCCCATCCCCCGGAGTGATTTTTGTTCGAATGTCGCACAGAGGATGCAACGGAAATTGTACTGAGGGCACGGCCATTATTCCCCTCACTCTGCCAGAAGCCCAAGGAGGCGACATACGCAGCTGAATTTGTCATATTGTAGTTCTTTGGGCAACATCGTCTGCCTGCGTATCCGCTATTCAAAACGGGGCATATCGGCTATTGGAAATTGAGATACATTGATTTCTTCGGAAAAAGTCAACTTAGTACAAACATCGAAAAAGGAACATATGTATGATGGTTTCCGTATTTAAGTCACTTTGAATTAAACAACAAGATATATTATTAAATGAAAAGTGTAAATAAATAGTGAGTATCTAAGAGTCGGGGAAATCTGTCAAAATTCTTACGTGTTTTATTTTTTGTTTATGCGTTTTTCTGGAGCCACCAGTCGACAAAATTGCAGTCGACAGTTTGGCACATTCCCATTTCGAGGCCCTGGCATAACAACGCCCACTTTTTGGCCACTGTTTGCATACGTGCCCGTTGTGAAATTGCCTGGGCGCACTCCTCAAATCATTGGCCGCTGCCCCGCCCACCATCGAATCCAAAGGCTGTGGGAGCGCAACATGTTAGTGACACAATCGAAATGGAAAACGACATGGAACATGGCAACAATAACGAGCTGCAATAACAAACAACTTCGAATTTTCACCCGGACATGAGACAGGTAAGAAAACCAGGCGGAAATTGAAGTGTGAAGTGTGTGAGTGGATTAGTTATCCTGAGAATTGTTGCCGTTTGGCAAATTTCCTTCTGATTTGCGACACTCACTCGCTTTTTTGCCCGACACCGTCAGCTTATGCTTACAGTTTGGGAGTCAGGCTCAACAAAAAAAAAGATTTGCCCTCGGGGCAAACACCAAAAATGAATGAAATTCAAGGAGAAGTTTGCTGTGGAGCATAAGCAGCTCTGGTTATCTCCAGAGGATAGCTACCTGTAAATATACGTACATGTATCGGTGGCAGTTCTCCTTCAGCCTTAAGCTCGCTTTTTCCCCCCATTTCCCAGTGGCTTGTTTACACTGCAGCGACGCGACACTGCGGTGGCACATAGGCAAATGCAGTTGCAGATGAAACTTAAGTCGACGGAGGTAAATGTTCAGATTGAGTGACTGTCAGATGAGCTTTTGAAGAGCGGGATTACCAACCAAGATGGGAAGTCCTTTAAGTACTCTTTGAATTAATGTTAAATTAACTTAAAAGTATTTTTTAGGAATAAAACAATTAAATTTTAAATTGCGAGACCACATTTTGAAGGTGTAAATTAGGAAAGAATTGATAAGTAAAATTATTAAGGCAAAGACCTTATTTTTCAGTGTTTAATGTATAAATTTACATTTTTGTTTTTCTATTTACAAAAAAATAAACCTTACTATTTAATTTACATTTTTTTTAGGTTTTTTCTGAAGATAATATTCGATTTAGATTTAAAATTCACAATTAAATTTATTTTAAATAAACTTTACATATACAAAGTTGATAAACTTAATCCACATTACAAAGAATAATACATTAATATGTAAAAAAAATGTTTGGTATTAAATATGTAACTAAAAGGTAGTTTAAGAAGCTTCCTTTCAATACTGTCACAAAGGAAGAGAATTGAAGTCGTACATATTGCCCAACTCAAATTCAACTGCTCATGTGGAACGTCGTTGGAGCCAACGTCTGTGGTATTCCCAGTTTGCCAACTTCCTATTCCCAATCTACTGTCGCCGCTACGGCGCATTGCACATACGCCGTGTGGTGCAGTTGAGTTTCGTTCACGGTATTTTGCCTATAAAATTTGCAAGAATTCGTTGTGTCAATTGTGTGCAATCTCTTCCCCGCCCTTTTGCCGCCTGTCTGTGCCGGCTGGCATGTCTAGTTGGCAAATAATTCTTTACAGCCTTAAATTTTGCTCAACAAATTGGCATTTTTATTTGTGGCGGAGAGGAACGCTTTAAGCCAAACACGAGAAGTCGTTTGCAGCTACATTTTCGCGAAATTGTGGCTGTAGCTGAAAGCAAACCATCAAGTCTGCATTACATGAGGCGTATGCGTAATTTCGGATGCAGTAAAAATCCAGCTGCAGATGTTTCGAAGCACGAAATTAATTACGAAAAATAAGTACACAGATACACAAAAACACACAAAAACTCACACACACACACACATCGCGGACGGAGACTGACGCATAATAAGGAGAAGGACCAACAAGGAATAGCGCCAGAATAATAATAATAAGTAACAAAAATAAACTTTACACGCTCAAGAAAAGCAGCAACACGAGCAGAAGGAGCGAGGAAACTCTGTGGCAGAAGCAGAAGCAGAAGCAATAGCAGCAGCGGCCATAAACAAGCATATGCTAAGGCAGAAGGCATAAAAATAAATCCGAAGAAGGGAAAACTTTTTGATATTATCTGACTACGCTCACAATCATGTGCGAGTATGTGTTACGATGGATGTTTCGTGCTTTTATGTATCTGTGCTTGCTTGCAGATCATTCTGAGTGGCCAGAGAATCCGCCACGAAGGACCATGCAGAAGCTTTGTATATGACAGCTGCCAAAAAGTTAGCTCTTTTCAAAGAATATACCTGTTTCTCATATATTTTATTTGTATTTAATACATTCAAAAAAGTACTTGTTTGCATTCATAATAAAAAAAATGTAACCCCAAAGGCCTTTGGCTTCTTTTAAAATTATAATTAAATGTTTTCATAGTAAGAAAAATGTTCTCTTTTCGTTTGTCGAAGCTCACAAGTTTTTTATCTCACTCATTTTATTTTCTTTGTCTTGCTTTTCGTCTTGACCTGTTTTCCTTATTCTTATTACTGGCCTTTTCCTTTAAGTATTTTATTTTACTGGCCAAAGGCAAAGGCCAAGCTCAGAGCTTAAACATAAAATAAAGGCAGCAATTAGTGCTAAATAAAGAAATCATAAAGTGTAAATAATATTATTCCAGCGCAAATGAAAAGCAAGCAGGAAAAACCACAAGGAGCCATAACAGGCCAGAGCAGAAAAGACGTATTATTTACGGCTGTCATTGTTTTGGCATTTAAAGGAGAAGAAAGCTTCTTGGCCGACAGCAAGCAATCATTTGCAAAGCAATTAATTGTTATACAAAATATTTTAAATAAATGGCACAAGTTTGTCAGGCACATGTCCTGACTTAAAAAGATATGTGGATGGGTAAATGGAAATGCCTTTTATTATTGAATGTTTTCAAAATAGACAAATTCTGATTGGCTCTTTAGAGATTTCTTTTACCGACCTTTTCCGAATTTAAGTAATTCTCTTCTGTTTCCCATTTGCTATCAAACACGTCTTCATTTATTGGACCCGAAATAAATCTCAGAAAGCACATTTGCCTTACAACAAATGCATGCAAAATGCATTTCCTCATGCACAATCTAAATGAATTTATGACTGCAATTCACAAAAACTCAATAAAATATGACTGTTAACTGTGAATTTGTCCTCCATTCAGATTGCATGCATAAAACCATCAGGGAAACCACCAAATAAAAACGTTGTATATATATATTCGTATTTTGTCTATCTGTAGAGAAGCGAAAAAGGTAAGAGTTTGTCTCTTGGCTCAACTTCGAAGGCAGCGGGGAGAAGGACAATTCCTGGCGGGAATCACGTAACGAAGTGCATTGTTAAAATATAATAAAATTGCAATTTTGCGTTCATGTTGCAATGTGGCGTCATATCCTTTTTCCTTTAATTTTTCACGAATTCGCCATTTCGTAGTTCCGAAAAACTGAAACTATCCAACACACCCCCTCCCCTTGCGCTTCGTCCTTTCTGGTCCTTTCTGGGCGGAACATCC